TGTTTTTTTTTGTTTTTCTCGTCAAAAAATCCCGAACAAACTACAAAACTATCAGTAGATAAACAAACTACTGGTTTTATTTAAGTGACGACACTCAATTAGTTCAAGAGTGACCCTCGAGATGAGGAAGCGTGTGCAACATTGTGTAAAAAATGATATTTTTGTAATGATCCGTTCCCCTTTACTTATGATCAAGTTATTTATTTAAAAAAAAACATAAATAATGTAATGGTTTTGGGTAGCTAATAAACCAAGGAAGTTTTTCTAATAGATTGTACACTTAGGTGTAATATGAAGTCCACCTGTATGTAGTTCACCAGTTCTTTAATGGGCCCCCCAGGTAGTGAGGCTAGGCTTTCCAAATAATAAAAACTAACAGAGAATATCCGAAAAGCCATATAATATTGGGGGAGGCCTATGTTCAGCCGTGGACTTCTTGTGGCTGATATGATGACGATATAATTCTTTGCAGACCTCGGAATTAAAGGACAATGGACAAAATTGTATGGAGCGTGTACGTTCTGCGGCCAGGAATGATTTTAATATTTATTGGTTGGGCTACAGTCCTACAATTATTTAAAACAATTTTTATTACTGTGGTGTACTTACATCTAAAACGAATAAAATATATTTTTCAACCTTTGTATCGTTTGACCTACTATTCTGGCGTATACCTAATGCAAAATACAAAAGGATAAAGTGAAATAACAAATCTATACAGACTCAAAGATATTTATTATATGTATAATAAATCTATTACATGTCAATCACATGGTAAGCACAAACAGGTATGATTTGAGACATGGTGGTTTTAAAAAGAAATTACTTAAGTGTAATTTTCGAGCATGACATGTGTAGTCCAGTTCCTCCTACTCCTCCTTTAAAATTACACTTAATTCTGATGCTGGTAATTGAATCTCTCTGAGTTGATATCTTGCCCAGCCAAAATACCATGCAATAATAGTAGGTGATAGCTTCTCTTCCGTTCGTTTCTCGGTCAATAACAATATATGAATAACTAGCTACTTCCACGCGGTTTTACCCTCTTTGCTCAGCGCCTATTGATGCGCGTGATGTTTTATAGCCTACTAGCTGTTGCCGCAACTTCGGTTGCGTGGAATTGTGATTCACAGCTCCTCACCCGTAGATGATAGCGTGATAATATGCCTATCTGTTCTCCCGACCTGTTAGTAATATTCATGCAAAATTTGGAGTAAATCCATGCAGTACTTTTGGAGACATCATCCCGGACATACATACAGCCAAACAGACAAAATTCTAAAAACCGTATTTTTGGCCAAGGTATCTATCGATTGTAGATCACGCCTTATTTTTAAATATTATATAGTATTTTTTTTAAATGGTCAACGTACAGTTTAGACTTTTCTACGATTTTATTATATGTAAGATCAGAGAAGAAGATTCCAACGAATTTTCCTCGATAGATGGACTACACAACATAAAAATATTTTTTCAACTAGAACACGTAGTTCCTGAGCTTAGCACCTTCAAACAAACAAACAAAACAATTCTTCAGGTTTATATATAATATAATACAATAATATAAGATAAGCCTTAGATTTTACGTGCATTGATTGTATTCGAAGACGTAACAACCAAACGCCTTCCTTTTCTATATATTTTTTATTTTTATTTTATTTTATTTATACTAGAGGTACAATCGCCTTCTTTGGGATATTCAGCAGTATATTAGACGTTAATATAGTTAGCTTTTTCGGACCTGTGTAACATCCTCTTCATAAATACAGTTATTTTTTTCATATATATACAAGGACCCCTTATTTCTTGTTTTCGGTACACTTGAATATTATACAAGTCCTGTACTTAGTGCTCTGCATATAACTACGGAATACCTTGATTTGATACGAACCGACAGCAAACAATATATGATTGAACTTTCATACCGTTTTTTAATTGTTGTGTACATTATTACTGTATCTAAAAACGTTTAGAATTTAGGGTATAAAACTTAACATGTAATAATTATTATGCGATATAGCAATATCTATATAGAGAACTATGCAAGTAGGTTATATTGACATTCAAATTTTTCATTCCTGAATGGAATACAGTGTAACGCCCACAGTAAAAGTTATTCCTAAATAATAGTACTTTAATTTGACACTTATTTATTTGATGGCCGCCGACCGCCCAGAACTGACCATTCTCATTTGAAACTGCTTCGGAAAAATTAATATATATACATAATTAATCTGAGAGCCCAAAGCACAAAATCAGCGAATAATGGATCAGAATTTTCTGCCAATCAGCACTGCGCCGTACACCTATACCGAAAAATTACAGATTATTACAAAATTAATATTTAATCAAGACTAAAACCCACTCCGTTCCAACACCTGCTTTTAGCCCGAGCCCCCCGGTAACCCTGGCAGTTCTCCACACTTCCACAGCCGCGATCAGTGTGCTGTGAAAAAAAAGTGTTCATTTTGCACACGTTTTAGCAGAAACAAGTGATACTATAATGTATGATCATCTTTTGTACACATAAGTATTGACACAAGTGTTATTGGATCAAATATTATCGAGAAACGAATATTTTGAAAGTTGCAAATATGTAAAACTACTTACTAAGCCAATATTATCTCATGTGGTTTTAATTTGTAAAGCTGAATTCGATTTTACTAAATTAATTATAAAATATTGTGTCTGCTGCTAAAATACCTATCACGTGTTTTGTTGTCAACTGCTATAATTTTTATTCTGTCATTTATTTTTGGGATTTTTAATGGTTCTATTTATAGCATGTCCAGTTTTTTTTTTTTGTTGTTTGTAATTGGAATTTTACCCTTATTCTTTGGTAAACACTCTTAATGTTGATGATGGTCTTTATCTATGAAAGTGCAAGAGATTCATTTTTCCGGTTGTAATTTCCAGAATGGAAGCGAATAAACTCACGGAGAACCTAACGGGTAACCGGGTGGTTTTTAGTCAGTAAGAGTCTGACACTCCCTCCCGCCTCACCCAGGCGGGAGCAGTCATTCGATGATTTTCACCCTTAAAAAAAAAAAAACCAACAGATGGTGCGCTGGTTTGTAGTGTAAGCTCCGTAAACGTCGTTGATGTTGCGTGCCGCTTGTGCCGCTTTCTTGCCACGACAGTACTCATATTCCACAATTACTCGAATCCAAAGTCAAAGTCAAAATCATTTATTTCAATTAGATCAGGAAGGCACTTTTGAACGTCAACAACAAACATTTAGAAGTGAAGCTCGAAAATTTAAAAGTGAAGCTTGTTGCTAATTCCAAGGTGCAGATACCTATGGAGAAGAACGAACAAGAAATTCCATAGGTTACTCTTTTTCAATCGGGCTTACAATACAATTCTCTAGTGACATAGTTTTGGCCAGTGTCTTCACACACCGAATTGAGACTAGCCCCCATAAGATAGACATGAAAAGAGCTTTCTAACGATATACGTCTGGTCGGTGCTGGTCGGTAGGTACTTTTCCCATACATATTTGCAAAGATATAGAAGAATAAAAAATATTGCAGCAATGAGAGTCAAAAGCAGTATTTTCACTGCGCCAGCGTACAGGGTGTACTTTTTCATAAATACTTAAGACACTGTAATATAAAATCTCTAAGGTCTATTTTAATATTTTCTGATAACTGTTGGAACCTTGCCGAGCACCCGGTGCTATTTTATCATCGACTTCAGGGACACCCTATATATTATTTGACAGAGTACAGTAACAGTATTCTCTGACAAACTGATACATCTGATTCTTTTGAACCGCTGTTTCCAACCCGCCACCAAGCGCCAAGACTATGACAAACCTTCTTTTGTAGGTGATGCCTATAGTCCAATTTGGACTGTTGATTTTGGGTAACCTGGGTAGTGAAACTAACAATTAAATAATATCTTTGATCGTGATCAAAGATTAAACTTTGTAGAAAGATTAAACTGTCAAACACCAAGCGGTCACCGGTGACCGCAACCTATTGTTCTTTAATTGTGTCTATATTGACGGTCCTCGACGAGTTAAGTCATGAACCTTCAGTTTGAATAAGTAGTGTCTTAACCATATTAAACTGAGTATCAATATTAGTACTGACTCGTTGGCCCAGTGGTCGCAAGTATGACTGCCGGGTTCGATTCCCGAGTAGGGCAATTTTTTTATTTATCAGTAGTAGCACGAAGTCCGAAAACGTTTAATGACAACCACGCCTCACCCATTTAGGGCGTAGTCTGAGAGTGACTTTCCACCCACAAAAAGGGATCCGCAGTTAGGTCAGCGGAAATTAGATGATTTTATGTCAATTTTATGACTTAGGTACCTGGATCCAATAATGATTGATACTACGGATCAGATGTATCCACTCGATGCACGGCTTTCACACATAATCTGTTATACATATTGTCTGGACTTTAAAAGAGACAGACCTCTGAGTTTGTTTCGACATTTCTTCTCAGAGTAGTCAGTTAGGAAATGTCGACCTCATCGTTCGCTTGATAAAATTGACGTGTAAAAGTGCTGCCTTGTAGCCTACTTGCAGAAATAAATTCACTTGTTTCACTTGATGTGATGTCTGACTTGACACGAATCCAGAATGTTGATTTCCTGTTATTTTTAGTTGTCAGTTAATCACTATTGAAACTTTACAGCGTTTAGCCCTTTCATTAGTTGGTTAACTTGGATCTGGTCAATCAGAGCGCGGAACGTCATAAACGCGTCGATTGCGTTATCGCAAAACAAGCTCGCCTTTAGCTCTCAGGGCTCCACGGTTTGAAGACCCCTCATTAAAACAAAATTGGATTCCAAAGTACTCACCCCACGTAATTCGTACGTGCAGTAGGTACGGAATTCACTGAAATAAATATGTCATTTCATCGACTGACCCCTAAAATACAAATTAAGAGCAGGTACAGTGAATATTTGGCTAACCTTGCTCACATTGCAAATATGAAAATTGAAAAATAAATGCATAAAAGTTTTCAGTGCACCGTCGACTATATAAACGGTTAATGGCGATCTCATCTCGTAGACCAGTCGTTGGAACCAAAGCTGCAACCATGATCAAGACACTAGCTCTTCTTTGCCTCATGGCACCAGCCTTCCTTGGTGAGTATCCATTTCTTTCCAAGCGCAGGTCCACCTCTATGAGTACTATTAATTCAGTCTCCTACTCTTTGCGTCGTGTTCCTCATTACCGAGGAACGTGATCTCATCCATAGGAAGCCAGTTTTTCGCTCACGACTTCTCTCCATTGATATAATTGAAATATACCTAATTGTAGACACCAGTCTCACTTTTCCGATCTACTAAGATCTTTTGCTAATCACTCTTTTTGAAAACTATACTCCGTCTGTTTAGGTAGTTAACTATTTGTAAACAAACCATAAAAAGAGTTGTTTATAGTTGACATTTCCATGATTCAAAATACTTCATAAGAAAATAAAATTGTTTCTATTTTTACGACAGTTTTCTCTATTAAATGTTATGTTTCTGTTCCTTTTCACTTATTTCTTAGTAAATATTATACATATATCTGCTCGAGCATAATAATTTAATAACATTTATTAAATAATATAATATTTCATTACAATAGACACCATAAAGACCCTAAAATCCCAGGTATCCAAAACCTTTCTTTAAGAACGAAGCATTAGATAATGTTGTCAAATTAAAGAGTACAACTAAGATGTAGCGCGACAATGAAAGTAGCGTGTATTACGTTTAGTCGGTTAATCGCCTGATTAACCAACTAAACGTGGCGCCTGCCATTGACAGCTCTCTCGTCGTTTGCGCTCGCGTTCCTATTTTGTTGAATTTGTCTTGTTTCTTTGTTTTGTTTTTGTTATTAAGTTATTTAAGTTTAGGTTATTCATCGTTTGTAATTAATGTGTTCAAATATATTGAAGAAACTTGGCCCAAAGACACATATCCGTACAAGAAAGAAATCAGTACATCAGATTCAGAATAGTTTCTATTTAAACATGATAATGAAATAGACCCATAGGCTAGGCTCTTGTACGATTTAGGCATTATTTTGTGCTTGTATGTGTGTGTGACAAATGAACGATTTTAAAGTGAATTTAGTTTAAATTAAAACACGAGAAATATTTGAAGTAATAGAAGGTTAAGTATCTCTGTGTCACGTGGTTTTGTTTGTTTACCTTTAGTTAATTACCTAAACAGATGGACTATAGATCCGCATCTGATTCCATACCTTATCACCACAGATTATCATCATGTCTTGTTATTTTATTAAACAATATATGTAGTTATTCAGTTTCAATAGTCAATACTTAATTTTTATAGCTTTCTATATGTATGAGTGAAGTGGTATACATAATTAGGACACAATGTGGACCCTGTTGGGCACAACAATATAAATTTTGTCAGAAACACTCTTTGACATTACATTCGGAAAAAATAGGTATAATAATACAATAACAAACTAATGCAATACAAGATAAAAGTAACTTAACCACCATCTTATTAAATGTTTTGGTTAGTATTAACCAATGTCTCAATTTATTTCAGATGCAGCCCGTCAGGTTGGCTTCAGATGTAAGTACCTCAATCACGCAGAAAACCACTTAATGATTCAATTATATACTCGACTTCATATAGAAAGGGTAGGCTGATGTTAGTATAAATGAAAAAAAAAACATAATAGATACCTACACATTTTACGCCTCTAGTAACTTCAAACCCGGAGGTTATACGCCGGGGTCGTGCGGTTCATGGCCCTCTACGGCGCCCCTGAGCGGTCGCCGAACCTGATGCGGGGGCCTGCTCGGGCGCTGCTCATGTCACAGAGGGTCATGGCGATCCGATGGATCCGCGGATACCGCACGATCTCCGGGGAGGCGGTGAACCTCCTTGCCGGATTTTCGCCGTGGGATCTGGAGGTGAAGGTGCAGGCGCGCACATAGTTATTATATACGCGCGGAGGCACGTCACCGGGGCGAAACTGTGGCTTAAGAGACGCTACGGCGTCCTCACCTACCGCCTGACGCAGGTCCTCACCGGACATGGAAGTTTCGGGAGGTACCTGTGTCGGATGGGGCGGGAGGAAACGACCGGATGTCATCACTGCGAGGACCGCCCTGAGGACACAGTGGAACACACAGTGGGGGAATGCCCTGCGTGGGCTGAGCACCACTGTGCCCTCAAGGAAGTGATCGGCGATCTCCGGCCATCATAAGCGCGGGCCTGCGGACGGCGAGCATGGGTGGCTCCCCGTCCGAAAAGAAACAGACCCGAGCGTACGGCGCATCGCGTTCCGCGCGCGCCTCAAAGAGCCATCAGATCACCACAGATGGGGAGAACCTAACGGGTTACCGGGGCTCCGGTTCGACGTGCAGGAGAAGGAACGGGGTGGTTCATAGTCAGTAAGAGGTTGACACTCCCTTCCGCCTCACCCAGGCGGGAGCAGTCATTCGATGATTTTCCCCCCTTAAAAAAAAAGTAACTTCAAACGTCGGCCGAAAGTCACATTTCCCAAATTAAGTCAAATATGCTATTGTCACTAAAGAGCATACCTACATCGAAATCGATAAATAACAATAATTTACAGATTTTAAAAGTATTTTGACCGATTTCAACGAGTCTTTTTTACTTCATTATATACAGAAAAGATACATAGAGATATGCTATACTTCAAATATACGATCTCCAAAGACTAATATTTAGGTACTAAGTTACATATAATTTTTATGTGTGGGAGAGCCATGTTTCGGCACGACTGGGCTGGCTCGACCGGCATGATACCACGGCCACACAGAAAACCGACGTGAAGCAACGCTTGCGTTGTGTTTCGTTGTGTGAGTGAGGTTACCGGAGCCCCAATTACCCACTCCCCTTCCCCAATCACTGAATCCCCAACGATCCTCAAACTCCTAATCCCCAAAAGGCCGGTTACATACTTGTTATGCCTCTGGTGTTCCAGGTGTCCATGGGCGACGCCGATTGCTTACCATCAGGTGATCCGTTTGCTCGATTACCGGATTAGGCCATAAAAAAATGCATCAGTTTGTGGGTGTCTTTAATTGAAACGAACACATATTTACAGATAAGTTCGAACTCTCCATATTTGGATTCGGAACTTCCAATTTCATCGACGGTCCACGCAGTAACAGCAGTGCCTTATCCAAGGGCTGGGTGAACGTGGAGAGACCCTACAGTCCTGAGGGATATGAAGCCCTGCAGCTGTGGTGCCCCGCAGACGACTACGTGATTTGTATTCTTACTGACGAAACTGGATACACTGCTGGTTTGCAGATCTCGGTACGTAAATTCAAAGTAACTTCTAAATTTTTAGGGCGTTTATTGAATTGGAAAAAGTGAGGATCTTTTTCCCAGGCGAGACAACCTTGCCTGGAGAGTTGATATAGAAAATTAATGATTGCACCCAATCTATGCTGAAGAAACTTAACTGTGTGATATATGTATAATGAACATAATTTTAATTATTATTATGTACAATACTTAATTTTTTTTAAGTATGCCATCAGTTGGTGTCAACTATTAAATAGTTAAAACTTTTCGTATGTAGATGTACGCTACCAGTATTGTCATGAAATTTCATTTTTATTTAATTTTAAATAATTTTTTCAAATTAATTCAATTTCAATAATTGCAATAAACGCGTTGCAGATTCCGAGTGACAAATTCACCCCAGCATTGGATATGGCGGTACTTGGTTTCCAAAACTGGTCAGCTGACGTTAACGGAGAGACCATCGAGTACTACACCAAGGCTCAGTACTTCGTGTCTGCTGGTAATTCATTCATTAAAAAATATAATCATATTAAGTCTACATTTATTGATTCATATGAATATCTATAAACTGGCTCGTTTGTAAATTAAAATAATTTATTGTTACTAGATGCTGCCACCCGTATCGCTTATGCAAACCCTGATAAGGCACTAATCAGGAATGATTACGTCGCGGTAGAAGGTTTCAATGGTGAGCTGGTGCAAATTGCCAAGTCTCTCAGCGACTTGGACAGCATCTTCACTAAACAAGCCTGCATCCCCTGGATGGGTGAGTCTATTTAATATTTTTTGGACCTGGGCGTTAAACTGTACTGATTTGATACTGAAGATCAATCAAAATGATCTTCAAACCTTCAAAAAAGAGCATATACCTTTTTAAAAGGCCGGCAACGCACCTGTTTCTCCTCTAGTGCTGCAGGTGTCCATGGGCGGCGCTGATCACTTACCACGAAGTGAACCGTCAGCTCGATTGCCTCCTATTCCAGACCGGGTCATATACATATTCTTATTTTTGGACGCGTTCATAATCACTCTTTTAATAGTCAATTTCCTTAGTGTTGGAGTCAACGAACAATGACGAAAAATATTGCAAAGTCATCCATAATAATGTACACATGTTTGTTCCAGGTCTCCACTACTACTACGACATGAGCAGTTCCCTTGAATGCAGTGCATCCACTATTCTGACTTGGTTCCCCTTGTACGAAAGTGATGAGCTTATTGGTATGGGTTTCCTGGTTCCTGGTACTTTAACAGTAGCTTCAGGAGAAGTGGACCACTTTGAACACCCGAAGAAAAGTGATGTTGAGGTACTGTACAAGATATCTTATAATTGTCTTCACTCTTATATAAATCATCATCATCATCATCATCATCATCATAATTCAATAGTCGTTTGCTGTACTTGCTCTACAAAAGAGGGGTCACAGTTGCGGGGTTTTTCAGTTTCCTCGCTCTGTAGATTGGTGACCACGATTTAAAAGGGCCACGCTTGTTAAACTTCGCTGCCGCCAAGTTTTTTTATACTACGACGGTGGCAAAAAGCACACGGCCCACCTGATGGTAAGCGGTTACCGTGGCCTATGTACGCCTGCAACACTTGGAGCATTATATGCGTCTTGCCGACCCTAAGAAACCTATTCACTCCCCTCTTGAAGAACCCCATGTTGTAGCCCACTGGGAAAACCACGGCAGGGAGTTCATTCCACAATCGAAAGGTCCGTCGGACAAAATTCCTCTGAAACCGAATGTACGGGACCGTTTGGGCTCCAATGTGTGAGCGTGAACTCCCCTGTCGATGGCGAGCGGTGCGACAATAGAATGTGAACGTGGGCACCATATCAAACAATAGGCTATTCTCATCTATCAACAATAAATTATAACGTTATGTTATTTGTATAGTTTAAAACGTGAGGAATTAAAAAAAATTAAATATATATACATAAAAATATAGGATTCATTTTAAATGACAATGACCAAATTTGTATGGAGCGTGGTGCCTTTTCATTTTTTCGCGGCAGTTGATCGGATGTGGAAAAACTGATGCAGAATGACATTACAAACAAAAAAATATATGGGGTCTTATATCAAAAACACAGTCCAAATCGAGTTAAATCAGTTCAAAGATGTGAAAATAGTGCTATATTATTATCCCTGTGATTTTGTTGATGGTGACCGTACACAACGCATATTTCTTCATTTACTTGTCAGAAATATTTTGTAATAAATGTTTATAAACGATTTCAAGGAATATAATAAAGCTTATTGTGGACTTTTTTACTTATTTTTTTTTTGTTATAAGGCCACTGAATCAGAACAGAGTGAACCATTAACTGACCACTGCTGAAGAAAAAGAAACATTTCGCTTGATTGGCTAGCGTGTTCAATTTATATGTATACGGTTTATGGCCTATGACAGATTTTCATGATCAATTTCCTCTCAGTCAAAAACCCGCAAAATACTTTACTGAGCCCTATCATGAAATGCTATGTTTGTCAGCTGCGGCGTCGGTAGCGGATTGAATAGCGCTGATCACTTTAAAAGTCGACGGTTTTCTTTCTTCAAAAGATTATGCTAACTATTAAGTAGATGAGTGTCCCACCAGGAGTCAATGGCAAAAAAAATATACTTTATTAGATGTTTGGACGGCTACCACTACTCAACCCACCACTGGTACCACAGCTGACGCTCATGGAGCTTCATGACACAACTCTCAGAAGCATCCCACAAGTTATCGACTGAGAGAAAATAGGTAATAAAAATTAGTGCCTGGCAATATGAATATATTGTGGTGTGATATGGTTTTCCTGTGCCCGGAGTACAGTGGCGCGCAATTTGAAGTTAGAAATTGTGACAAAACTATGAATAATTTGAATAAAAAACCGAAGTAAAATGTTTGACTTCAGCTCCTTTCAACGCTCATAACTCAGTCCAGACTGAGATTTCCATATATAAGCCCATAAACAATTTCGTTTGTAATGTCATTCTAGATAATATTTTCCATAAATCATCGACTGCCGCCAGAAAAAAGAAAGGCACCAATTTTAATCAATGCCCTTTCAAAGTTAAAATCAAAGTTTTATTAGCTGTATGTCACGTGACCAAAAACGCCGTCCGCCATGATTTTCTCGAGAGTGACGTCGGAAGCATCAAAATATTTTATACTAAGCAATAGCATTCTTATCAAATCAAATTTTAACTACTTTTTGTGTTTAATAAATAAAATTTTAATGTAGAAGTCTTGCAATTTAACGCAACACACCAACGATACGGGTTATTGAAATTCATCTTTATATTATAAATTCAATAAAATCACAACGCAACCAAATTGTTTACAAAATGTGAAACTTGACCATTTGACGTTTCAATATTTTCGTGCTATTGATGTCACCAAAATGGCGGTCCGTGTTTTGACGCGTATATTTTTGATATCTTTTTTTCGGGATAAAGCTAAGAAAGCATATTTTGCTGAAATATAAATTATACTTCATAATAAGATATATACGAACATATAACAAAAAAACAGAAAGTTGGAGAATAGCCTATTCCGCAGAACACAACCCATTATACAAGCGGTAGAACACGCACAAGGAGGCAAAATGTCTTCTTAGACTCAATATCAATACCGCTCGCTCAGTTCTCTGTTAATTATCTATTCGCTTCAACATTTAAATTCCGACACCCGCGGGAACAGTAGGAGTGCCAATAGTGGTCTAAGATCCGATATAACATCGACCTTCACTGATATTTTTAAGGGGTATATTTTATTATTAGATAGGTAATTTAGTTCATTAAAAATTATAATCAATGAGATGCCTGGTCAAATTTTGGTCAGGCTCTAATTAATTAAAAATGTTTTTGATGTTATATCGTATTCTGTTCTCCTATCCTATTGTATTCTGCTCTATTACCACCTTCACCACTAGGTGAAGTGTGGTTTGTCACATGTAAAAGTGTTTTTTTTTTTATGGCATAAACCAGTAAACGAGCAGACGGATCAACTGATGGTAAGCAATCGGCATCGCCCATAGACACCTGGAACACCAGAGGCGTTACAAATGCGTTACCGGCCTTTTAGGGATTAGGAGTTTGAGGATCGTTGGGGATTCAGGAATTGCGGAGATTGGGGAAGGGGAGGGTAAATGAGCCTCCGGTAACCTCACTCACACGACGAAACACAATGCAAGCGTTGCTTCACGTCGGTTTTCTGTGAGGCCGTGGTATCATTCCGGTCGAAGACCATTCGTGCCGAAGCATGGCTCTCCCACACTTGAAAAGTACTTGTAGCTTAAGTACCTTGAACTATTGATATTATTTTCAGATGATCGTGAACTCTGGTCCTCAGTGCTTGTACGACATCGTCGGCAACAGCGGTGTCGTCACCTTGCATTCATACTTCATCGAAACTCCTCGTCAACTACTTTGTCTGTAAAACAACTTCCAATTTGAATAGACGAATAGAAACTGTCTTCATTCTTTCAACAATCCAAGAACTAATTACGTTCTCTGTAGAGAAACTATGTTCTCTTTTGCAATGAGTAAAACTCAACACATTATTGTTATGTAAGTAATAAAAGCTCCGTACCTTATTTTTGCAGATTTTTCTACTTATATAAAACCTGAGGTTGATTGGTAGAAAAAGCTGTATTTATAGTATTGAGTCCGGCTTATATAAAATTGTTTATGATTTTTTGTACAAGAAAGTTTTCTTACTATATAAAAATCTCAATCAAGACCAATATTAATTTTTTTTATTTTATTTTACCGCCTTTTTCCCTAGAAAGGACACCTACATCATGGCACATATGCCGGAATACTGAAACGTTACTCAATTTTAAGTCGTGCTCAAATATCGTGCCATCTCTGTCATTTTACAAAGAATTTGTAGAGACAGAACTATACCTAAGCACGACTTAAAATTGAGTAGCGTTTCAGTATTCCGACAATAATGCCACAAGTTTCTTTTGTTCGATATTTGAAACGGGTCGCAGTTTAGCGACTCTCAACTTATGGTAAATGAAGACGTGGCCTACAATGGAGCACGCCTACCCATAAACAACCTAAACCTAGTCTAGTCCCTCGGGCCTTGGAAACACTTATTTACCTCCAGCGTAGACAACGTCCTCTTTTCACCAGATTTGTTATAAGTCTCATCAAGTCTCATGTAAAATGAGGTGTCTTTTGTCATGTACCGGGTGCAATTCCAGAACCCATAAAAACACAGAAACATTTTCGAAAAACTGAAAAATCCCTTAGCAATAATTTACCTAACGGCCCAACTCGGGATTCATACCAAAAACCACTTGCTCGACAGCCGCATTTATGGGCATTCGACAGTCACAATATTATTAAATTCTATTTCGACGGCGTTAGAATATGGATAACAATTTAGGCTCGGATTTAGTTACAAGCCTGCTATTGGAAAGCACTTATCATCATTTGCAAAACCAGACCCACCATGGACTTTGTAATAATATGAAATTAAATAACAATAGAATTGTTATTTAATTCTTCTTCTTCTTCAACCCCCCTCTTTTTTTGAAGTCTGTTAATTAGTACCTATACTAAACCCATTTCCCAAGCGTAACAAACTGTTTTCTGAAAACCGCAATAAAATCGGTTTACCCAATTACGAGATAATCGCGCTAACTATGCTAGCTAGCTAGCTATGTATGTACATATGATATAGGTCAACCTGAGAACCTGCTTTTTTGAAGTCGGTTTTAAAAAGATAAACATGAATTCTTTATGTAGTGATAGAGTAGAATACATTAGTCATCATCACCACCTCCACTCCTCCCATGGGTATTGTAAGAACCGACTATGGAAGTAAAGAACCAGGTGTGTAGCTAGCGCCGTATTTGTCGTATCAATTATACGGGGCCGGCTACGGGACCCCTAACGTGCGCAAGCAAAAATCAGTAATAAATTCCCAATGTTTGTCTTATTTCAGTAACAGCAATAGTCAAAATAAACGATGTTTTCCTCGCGTAAAGCAAGCGTTCACAGGTTGGCAGAAAGTTTAACTTTACTTGAAAAACTAACGTTCTTAATCTGATAGTGTCTGCGCGGTTGGTGCTGGCTGGGCAACCGGCTGCCGTGCAACGTGTCGCGGGTTCGATTCCCGCACGGAACGACTCTTTGTGTGAGCCACAAATTGTTTTGGGTCTCCGTGTGATGTGTATGTGAACGCACCTACGCCACAGGAGAAAATCCTAGTGTTGGCCAAGATAAAAGAAAAAAAATTGAGCTGAAGGAGTTGCTAGAAAAGTTGTCGAATATTCAAACAAATTATTAGTAATTTAGACAAAAAAACTATTTTCTCTACTGAGAAATCTTAGCGCCAATGGGAACTACATATTGGACAGAGACCCTGCAGCAGCTCACTTACAAATCCGGAACATTTAATTAGCACCGTAAGGAGGCGTTTCTGTGCGGTCGTGATTTCAATTCAGTCGAGCCGGAGCCTCCCATACTTATAAATATTTTTTAATATTTTTTATTAATCAAATTATTCGTGGAGTCCATTCATTGATAGGTTTTAATATATCAGGAATAAGAGAGCTTTTAGGAAAATCTACTTTTGTGTCATTCTTCCTATTTAGAACAATTTTTTTCTCGGTAAACTTTAACTTACAGCTGTGAAAAAAATGTATGTGGCGGTTTTGTATTTAAATTACCTTGTTTAATGGTGATATTGGAATGATATAATCGTTACCTCGCCTCATAGCATGGTGCACTATTTACTGGACATACTGTGTATGGGAATGACACTGACAGAATGTGTGTCAGCATTTACTGCGATACTCAGAGACATACTATTCCATACTAACGAATTGTTCCGAAAATAATTGCTTAAGACTGAGGTAGTAATAATAAGTAGCCATTAAATGACTCTCAAACGGCAGTTAGACTTTATTTAGTTTTCTACTGTCTTGGTAGACAAGCACTAAATGGCATTTTGATCATAGGACTAATTGGGTTTGATAAACTTTACACACACTAACACTAAACTGATTCCAAAAAACTAATTGAATAAAAAAAAACTGCTCCATAATTGATATAAATATATATAAATTAATCCCCTTTTCCCTTGGTCATGGCATTACTCGTGAACTAATTCTTTTTTTTTTATTTCTTATTATTCGGAGAACGTTCTTTAGATAGAAAAAATACTGAAAATCCTACGGGAACGGAACAAAACAGAAGCTACCTCTAGTTATGTATATATGGCTCACTAGCTGTGCCCGCGACTTCGTCCCCATAGTGAATAGTGTTTCACAGGTCCACCCCCGTGGGTAATAGCGTGATAATAATATGTAGCCCATAATATGTTGATCCGACTTGTTAGTAATTTTTCAGTTTAGCCCGGACATACATGCGGACAAACAGACGAAAATTTTACAAACCATATTTTTGGCTTCGATATCGATTGTAGACCACGCCCCAAGCATTCTTTTAAAATTATATTCGATGTACAGTTTTCACTTTCCTATGATTTTATTATATGTATAGAATATAGAATAGATAGACATCTACATACAACCTTACCGGAAAATCTGTTTCTCAGTACGTATTATAATTTTTATCACGCTTCATTGGTATATCAATGAGTCTCCTAAATATTTCAATATGAATAAGTATTCACACAATAATAAATGTTTAATCAACCTTGGCCGTTTTGCAAATATGAAAATGAAAATAAATGGCATGATGTTTAGTTTCAGTTAGTCGGCAACTATATATAGGGTCAGTGGACATCTCTGTTCATCCACCAGTAGTGTCGCAGTCGTTGGTACCACAGCTACAGCCATGATCCGGACAGTTGCTCTTCTTTGCCTTCTGGCACCTGCCTTCATTGGTGAGTACTTCTTTCTTCACGTTCTATTAATTGATCTTACTTTTTTTCTATGTTTAAATTAGTTGTCACTTCTACTATTACTTCACGTTCACAGAACAGAGAATATTTTAAATTGTGCTCTTGTAATATGCTATTTATTACTAGTGGACATCGACGTGTTTAAAACGCTATAAGATCTAGTGGAACCTATGTTACTATATCCTGATGGCCCGGAGGTTTAAGACGCCCGCTTCTAATGCACGAAGGCGCGGGTTAGAAACTTATTATTTGGCCAACGGCATAGTACCAATGTGACTTTTTCCGAGTTAATGAAACATCGCTAACAAACGGTGAAAGAAAACACCGTAAGGAAATCTAGACTAACAATGTCTAATTGAAATCTATTATTCAACTAGTTTTTGTATCTTTGAACTCCTTCGCAGACTTCGAAATCATACTTTTTGCTTCTCAAGTTAAGTTTTAAACACAGCCACCATTTTATTGAATGGTTGGTTCAGAGATAATATCCAATTCCTCCATTTGTTTCAGATGCTGCCCGAACTGTTGGCTTCAGATGTAAGTACCTATCTCAACCACGCACAAATGTGTAGGTTGTAGCCAACATCAAGATTAGAAACAGTATTCAAATGCTGTAAAAGTTCTGAAGAGTTAAACAATACGTTACGGTCCTAAAAACTAGAGTTCTTTGACCAATGCCAATTAATTAGGCCATGTAATCATGGCTTTAGTTAGTCGTGGTAGTTTAGTTTGTTGCACCATTGCAGGAGGACCAGGAGGTAGCTGGCCAGTTAGCTGTGGCCTATTAAAGTGCGGCAATTTATTAGGATGATCATCCACAAACTGTAATGGTTTTTGAAAGAAGTAAATTCAAGTAGGAGTAGCATTTTTTTAATAAAAATCCTGATTGTCAAAAAAAAAATTAAACAAAATCTATAGAATTGATTTTATTAAATATTCCATTTTATATCTATATCTACAAGGTTAAATACTTGCAACTTAAAAATAAATTAATATTTCATATATAAGAAACCACAGAAAATGAAAAGAGAAGGAAAAAAATGTTTACTTACGGCGTCGAAAAAATGGATTAGGTAATTACTAATTTACAATTATTTTCCAGATAGGTTCGATTTGAGTCTTCTTAATTTTGGCACCAAAAACTTCATAAACAGCCCACGCACCAATACCTCTGCTGCTAGTCAAAATTGGGTGAATGTAGAGAGACCCTACAGTGCTGAGGGATATGAAGCCCTGCAGCTGTGGTGCCCTGCAGACGACTACGTGTTCTGTATTCTTACTGACGAAACTGGTAACACTGCTGGTGTGCAGATCTCGGTACGTTCACGTTTGGGTTCTTGATTTCTCCCTCTTTTGATAAAAATCTTTGCTAAGCATGCCTTACGACTTTGCGGTCGTGAAGTCCATCGTTTACTTATGAGGGATAAGTAATAAGCTTTAAAAAATATCATTCCATTTCAGGTTGAATATGACCGATTCCAACCAACTTACGATATGGACACACTCGGTTTCCATACATGGTCACCTGAAGTTAACGGAGAGACCATCGAGTACTACACCAAGGCTCAATACTTCGTGTCTGCTGGTAATTCATTCATAATTAAGACCTGATGGATAGCTATAGACTTAAAAATATGTCTGCATTTATTGATTAATATGCATATCAATAAACTGGCTCGTTTGTAAATCATATTAATTTATTGTTATTAGATGCTGCCACCCGTATCGCTTACGCAAACCCTGATAAGACGCTGATCAGGAATGATTACGTCGCGGTAGAAGGTTTCAATGGTGAGCTGGTGAAGATTGCCACGTCTCTCAGCAACCTGGACAGCATCTTCACTAAACAAGCCTGTATCCTCTGGATGGGTATGTCAACGTTAAGCTCAATCTGTAAACCAAAATTACTTCGATCCGTTTTTTCTGTCTCAACTTTGGAAAAGTTGCCGTAGGATTGGAGTTAGTTACTTATACCTATATTATATTACGTTCCAGGTCGCCACTACTACTATGACATGAGCTCTTCCCTTGAATGCGGTGCCTCCACCATTTTGACATGGTTCCCCTTGTACGAAGACAATACGCTTATCGGCATGGGCTTCATGTTGCCTGGTATTTACACATTGCCCAAAGGAAGCTTTGACCACTTTGAACATCCAGACAAAAGTGCGGTTCAGGTACAGTAGAATTCACTTCTTATATTATCTTCATTTTTATGAATCATCGTCATCAATACTGCACTATTGGACAGACCAAGAATAGAGGGGTTTGTCAAAGCCTCCTCGCTTGGCAGGCAAGTTGGTGATCACAATTTAATAGGATCACGTTCGATAACAGAGCACGCTGCTGCCAGTTCTTCAGCTTTTTTACCAAAAAAAAGCTATTCAGGTCAATACAATAAGTTTATACATATATCCTCTTACATTAACGTTAAGAATTTAGGGATACTATACATTTTATAACTTAGAATTTATTTACTAAACCAAGGCTGGAGAATTAAGTAAAATGGCGAGATTGCAGGAGGATGCGTCGTCGATCGACTGGGAGCCCTTGATAGATGCAATTGCGGTTGATGATAAAGTTGCAATCTTTAACTCAAACATTATTAACCTTTACGATCGTCACGCTCCAATCAGGAAAATAAAGGTTAAGCGGCTCCCTGCACCGTGGATGACCCAGGGGATTAGGATGGCCATGCGGCGCAGAGATCGGGCGTTCCGTAAACATAGGAGGGATCGCACTGAGGAAAACTGGGCAACCTTCAAGTTTGCAAGAAACAGGTGTAACCAGATGGTACGTGACGCCAAACGCCGCCATGTTCTCGAAAACATTTCATCTTCTTCTCCTGCCGATATCTGGAAATTCCTCGGAACTCTAGGTATCGGTAAGACGCAATATTCAGATCTTCCCTGTACAGTTTGTCTAGATGGTCTTAATGACCATTTCACAACAATACCTACCATGGACCCTCTAGTCAAACGTAACACTCTTGCCTTTATCTCTGGTCTGACGCGTCCATCTATCACTAATCCTTTCCGCTTCGCTCCAGTTGACTCGACTGAGGTCGGAAGGATCATCCTCTCAATCAAATCCAAAGCGGTAGGTTGTGACAACATCTCTCGATACATGATTGTTACCATTCTAGATCACCTCCTACCAGCAATAACCCATGTCATCAACTTTTCCCTTTATTCCGGTACTTTCCCTTCCCTCTGGCGTAAAGCCTTTGTCCGTCCGCTCCCTAAAGCCTCTGCTCCCACCCTTCCCTCTCAATTTCGTCCAATATCCATACTCCCATTCCTGTCCAAGGTGCTCGAGGCCTGTGTTCATAAACAGCTTTCTAATTACATATATCGGAATTCACTGATTAGTCCTCTGCAGTCTGGTTTCAGACCTGGCCACAGTACTACTTCCGCCCTCCTAAAAGTGACTGGCGATATTAGAACCGGCTTTGAGGATGCTAAAGCCACAGTCCTGGTTTTGGTTGACTTCTCGAATGCCTTCAATATGGTCAGTCACGACATCCTGTTGGCTATCCTATCCCACCTTATGGTCTCTGGCGAGTCACTGGAGTGGTTCTCTTCTTATCTTCGGGAGCGTCAGCAGGCGGTCAAGCACGGTGATAATTCATCTAACTGGCGCGAATTAAAGGCTGGCGTTCCTCAAGGCGGTATACTGTCACCTCTCTTATTTTCCATCTTTATTAATCTCATCACTTCCGAGCTTCGGTGTGCGTACCATCTATATGCGGATGACTTGCAGCTTTACTGTCAGACCAGCTATGACAGATTGCCGGATGCCATCTCAAAAATTAACAACGACTTATCCGCTATTAATAATTGGTCGGTAAGGTTCGGCATTGCGGTAAACCCCAAGAAGTGTCAGGCGATTGTGATAGGAAGTTCTCGTTCTCTGAGTAAGGTTGACGTTGCATCTCTACCCGCTGTCCTTTACGACGGTGCGATCGTTCCGTTTACTAGTGACGTCAAGGACCTCGGTTTACATATTGACAGCAATCTTAACTGGCATGCACAAGTCATTAGTGTAAGCAAAAAGGTGACTGGATCGCTGCGGGCTCTTTATCGCGTTAAAAACTTGCTTCCGTCCGACACCAAGGCAATGCTGGTACAGGCCCTGTTGTTCCCTATTATAGATTATGCTGATGTGTGTTATTATGACCTGAATGCAGATCTCCTCAATAAACTTGACCGACTTCTGAATAACTGCATTCGATTCGTTTTCAACCTGCGTAAATATGATCATGTTTCTGCATACCGATTGCAATTAAAGTGGTTGCCCATACGACAGCGCAGGGAACTAAGGGCGCTAACCACTCTTTTCTCTGTTCTTGACTCGCCTCATTCGCCTCATTATCTGTCCTTACACTTCCAATATACATGCGCAAACCACAGCAAATATCTTCGCTCTTCTAATAATCGCCTCCTCCAATGTCCAACACATCGTACTAAATTTCTTCATTCCTCCTTTTTTGTTCAGTCTATTCTTCTGTGGAATGCGCTCCCTCCCGATATCAGGATGGTGCCCAGTCGTTTGTCATTCAAGCGGAAAGTGCGGGAGCTACTTTTGAGGAGGTTGGCAGAATCGTAACTATCAATATACTATGTATAATTATGTTACGTCTAAGTAGTATATGTAATACAATTGTGTAAGTTTATTGTTATGACATAATATACATGTAAGTTTATATAGGGATTTATTTTATGTAAGTCTATACTATCCGTTTTTCTATTTATTTAAGTTTTAAATACGCTTGCTTCTTGCATCGACCATTGTTTTTGTCTCTGCATCACCCAAAGGTCTGGCTGGAGGAGAATGCCCTAGGCATTAAGCCCACCTTGTACATAAGTTTGTGCATGAAGTCTTTTAAAATAAAAAAATAAAATAAAATCGCGGGTTACTCACGTGAATATACTGAGAAAAGCTCTACTAGTTAGCAGTGAGCTGCGCGACGTCGCCGCGACCGCTCACGCTGCTCATGAGGAAGAACCCCTCGGTGGTTCGAAAATAGTAGAGGTTTTCTCAGTATATTCACGTGAATAACTCGCGATTTTACTTAATTTAGTATGTCTCACATAGTTATTATAAAAACAAGGTTAGAGAAGTCACTAGATGATTTTACATAGGTACTTATAACGATTATCTATAATTTCACTGATATTTTTACAGCAAATCGTGACCTCAGGCCCTCAGTGCTTGTATGACACCGTGGGTGAAAAAGGTGTGCTCACCATGCACGTCTACTACATCGAAACTCCTCGTCAAATATTCTGTTGATGCAAAAAAAACAATCTAAAACATAAATGACAACATGTTTGTAGCTGCTGTTAAATCCACAATTCTGTTATGTTTATAAAACAAATTTTTAATCAATAAATTTCTTAATATGCCTATATTTCTATTGAAAATTATATCTTTCTTGAAATCTCAAACAAGAATTTGTCATTTTATGAGTCCTAAGATCGTCACACCATCTAGATAGAAACAGAGTATCATCTGATAATAATGATGAAGATTATAAACTACCCTTAGAAATTAGAATAAGATTCGACGATAAGAAGAAGAATTAGAGTGACTCAAACAACAGAAGAATACACGAGATCTCCACTTGTAGTCGAGAATGACTAAATATTGGATTTTCGAATTAGCACAATAATTTAAAAAAGGGTTAACGTATCAGTTGCCGAAAAATAGGAACACTTTTAGTTTTATTTGTATTGTAACTTTCGTGATACATACTAAATAAATTATTATGTTTTCGGCTTACTCACGTAATAATTTGACGAGGAACTCGACTAGTCAATTTTGTCAACCGAACGATGAGGTCGACATTTCCTAATTAACTAATTTGAGAAGAGGTCTGTCTCTTTTAAAATCCAGATATAAGATTATGTGTGAGAACCGTGCAAGTTGGTTCTGTAGTGGCCTTTTGAGGAAAGAACCACAACAGTTTGAGCAGACACGTTCTGAAGACAGTACGCATGTGTCGGTTTACAATCAGCTCAATTAACAGGTGACGCTGTCTGATCCGACGAGCAATACTAACCTAAAGAACATTTGGGTTGGTCGCAAAATACTCAAACTGTCAGAACATGGGTAATTGGAGAAGAAATGGCGAGGCAAAGTCTCACACGGTCCTTGCACTTACAATTGTAAAAATAAAAATTAAAAACCTGCGTTTAAAAAAACCGACTTCAAAAACTAAAAAAAAAACAAATGAAAAGTAAAAACTAAAAAGGAAAAAATAACTAGTATTGGATATTGGTTATACCTTATAGCTTACACACACACTGATAGGTTAGAAGTCGGTGCCTCCTCCTTTTTTTGAAGTCGGTTAAAAAAGAAAACGTCAAGGTAGTGACGAAAAAAATGTTACAAACAGTTAGTGCAACCATGACAGATTATACACAGAGCGGGTTCCGGAACTGATGAGCAGAGGACACGATGCTTACTTACACATATCTGTACTGATAATGACCGCCAAAAAAAACTAAAATCATACGCCTTGAATCATAATAATGTTCTTCTGTGAGAAAAAGAAATGGATGCAAGTAATGAGCCCAAACTTTATATGTGTTCTAGCAGCCAGGCCAAGATTCCGTGAGCCACCAATTCCATCATCGTACCACTTCTATGGAACCTAAATAATGTATGACCTGTATGACTATTTAATGCCTAATCTAAATAATTGCTAATTGTCGTGAATTAGAAGTCCCGATATATATGTACAAGATATATTATTGAGGATTTTCAAAATAAACTACGAATTGTTTCTCTGAAAATACAAAGTTATTGTTTTAATTAATAAACCTTTACAATATTGCAACTTATCATTTAACTATGACAATATTCTTAAATCTCACCTGAAAATACAAAGAAACGACATTTAAAGTTTACTATCGCCTCCTCGTTTATAATTTTTACAAATTATCTTCTAGAAAACTACAAGCTTTTTTTAGATTGTTACAATGGTTTCCACAGATAACCTATAAAACCTGTAAAAAGAAGTGTGCACTTCTGTTATTGTGTAGGAGATATAGGAAAAAGAAAGAAAGAAAGAAGATTTTGGGATGATAAGATTTTGCCGCACGATGCGAATCAATTCGCAAGGTCTTGCGATACGTAGAAGGAGCTGGCACATTTTTGCAATGCGACGGCGCATTGTAAGTCATTTGGTGTTGCTTTGTTGATCCGTCTGCTCCTTTGTTGGTATTACAATTGAAGCACGCATGAAAAGATTAATGTAGTTCTTTAATGAAACGAAATAAGTAGGCACCCAGAACCGTACCGTGTCGTGCAGAACATAATATGTTATTGATGTACAATATGTTGGTATAATGAAACTAGGTTATAACTTATCCTAATCCTATATACATAAATAACAAAATATACTTCTCTGTAATTTGAAATTTTGAATATAATCATCTTATGTCTAATAGTAACCAGTAATGATGCAGTTAAAGTGTGGGAATGCCATACTTTGGTACAAATGGGTCGGCGCGACCAGATTGACACCATGACCTGACTGAAAACTAACGTGACACTACGCTTTTGTTATGTTCCCCCGTATGAGTGAAATTACCGGAGGCCGAATTCCTCCTTTCCCCAATCTCCCCAGTCTCTCAAATTCCTAGCCCCCAAAAAGTCCACAACCCACTTGGAACTTCTGTGGTGTCGAGTGTCTCCATGATCAGTGCGCTTACCATCCAAAAGCCATGACAAAAGCCAAAAGCCCAAGGCAAAAGCCAAGAAAGTAAACAGAATTTTTCAACAAAATTTATTAACATTGCGGAATACAGGTACAATTTAAAATCATTTTACATTTAGCACAAGAATTTTGTCCGTATTCGATCGAAAAAAAAGTGTATTTAAAACCAACAGGTGATTCTACGGGGATGCTCTGTGAAGTATATGTGCATAGTAGTGACGCCGTTTTTGTCGACATCATCATACATGCACTTAGGGCCCGATTTCACGATCAACTGTAATAATTACAAAAAATATTTGTTTAATAATATAAAAATTTCTTTCTCCTAATGAATATTGAGACTATGGGACCCCTCTACATATGAAGGTTTGCCTTCACTTATTCTTGTTCAGATTTCAGAGAACGCTGTAGCCCGGTCTCTATCAATGTGTAGTCCCGTAGCTAGTAACTCAGAACACATTTTACAATAATTACCTTAACCGCTGCCTTATCAGGGTGTTCATAATGGTCGAAGCCTCCTTTAGGCAAGTCAACTTTGCCAGGCACCATGAATCCCATGCCGGTAAGTTCGCCGCCATCGTATAAGGGGAACCAGGTGAACATGGTGGTGGAAGTGCATTCCAGTTCTGTGGTCATGTTGTAGTAGTAGTGAAGACCTGGAACATACATGACATACACATTATATGTCTCTAGCAATTTAATGTCTTACCTGTTTCTGTCTTATGAACAAATACAATTTTTTATAGAATAGGAGGCAAACGAGCAGACGGATCACCTGATGATAAGCGATCAGCCGCCCATGGACACCCGCAACACTAGAGGAGACACAGGTGCGTTGCCGGCCTTTTAAAAAGGAATATGCTCTTTTCTCGAAGGTTTGAAGGTTATAAATAAAGGTATTATGTAATCAGGTGCGTATCTTTCTCTTCAGAACAAATATAATTTTGGTTTCAACAGTTGCAGGTCATTATTCTAGTTTCATTCCTTTACGTAATCCTGTAAAGAGCTGTCTAGGGAACTTGAATAATAAGTATTGGCCTTTTACGGTCTAAAAGTTTTATATTATTGATCGGTATACTGGTGACCGTGGACGGGTCAGTCTACTGTGAGTTATTTCGTCAGTTATGAAATCACCAACAAGAAATCTTATGGAAAGAGGTTTAAATATAGGTTCTAGTCAGTACTTTAATGCATGTAGAGACTTACCCATCCAGATAATGCAGGCTTGCTTAGTGAAAACGCTGTCGAGGTCACTGGCATACTTGGCTATATTCACCAGCTGGTCTTTGAAGCCTTCTACTGTTACGTAGTCATTTCTGATGAGTGACTTTTCAGGGTTTGCGTAAGCAACACGAGTGGCCGCATCTAATGGGAAAATAAGTAGATCGGATTAAAAACCCTTTGATTTTGTGGCGATGTCTAGCGATACCCAATTACACTAAGCTAACGAATACGACATACCTGCAGACACGAAGTATTGAGCCTTGGTGTAGTATTCAATGGTCTCTCCATCAACGTCGGCTGACCAGTTTTGGAAACCAAGATCTTCCATGTCATACACCGGAGTAAATGTGTCAACGCGGACCTGCAATGGATATATAATATAATTTAATACATTTTAGTATTTACCGTTGGTATTTATATTATTTTCCCCACATTACATTTATATTTTTTGGGCCTCCTCTGTGGTGGCCTGATGGCTCCTTGAGGCGCGCGCGGAACGCAATGCGCCGTACGCTCGGGCCTGGTTCTGGTCGGGCGGCGAGTCCCCGTGCTCGCCGTCTGCAGGCCCGCGCTTACGGTGGCCGGAGATCGTCTCGCGATCCTCGACGCCCGGAGTGTCTCTCGCGACGGCCAGTCGTGAGGAGGTTCGTTCCCTCACGCGCTCCGCCTCCTCCTTAGCTAGCATGACTGCTTCGCAAAAGGAGGAGACGGCATCTCAGTCCTCCTCGCTCCGTACCATGGTCTGAACCAGAGCCGGACGCGAGAGGTCGCCGTCGCCGATCACTTCCCTGAGGGCACGGCGGTGCTCAGCCCACGCAGGGCATTCCGCTACAGTGTGTTCCACCGTGTCCTCAGGGCGGTCCTCGCAGAGATGACACCCGGGCGTTTTCTCCCGCCCCATCAGACACAGGTACCTCCCGAAACTTCCATGTCCGGTGAGGACCTGCGTCAGGCGGTAGGTGAGGACGCCGTAACGTCTCTCAAGCCACTCCTCAAAGAGGGGACTTACCGCTGCGATGGCAGCGAGCCCAGCCCTCGCTTGCGACAGTCGTTGCTGCCATTCCGCCATGAGATCGCGCCGGAGCTCATCCCGCCACGCATTTATCCGGCAAAGTTACTTGGCCTAAGCATCTGGTTTTGCAGTTACCACACAGTTAGAAGGTATGATGAATTATCCGCCAGTTTAACTGATAGAAACTCAACTAAAAGCGGTGAAACAAGACCTAAGAGTTACTGCTTAGATGGCGCCATTGAAGAATATAATCTGGTTGATTCAAAAATTTGTTTTGTTCACCGTGATGAATTTAGAAACAAATTACACTATGTCATTATTTTAGTGACGTGGACGTGGAAACTTTGATTGTTTGATCATTGTTAACCGGAATATATAATATACATACATAGGTATAGGTACCTACTCCCGATAATGAATACAAATCTATCTGAGTATAACCAGGTACAACGTATGATCAAGCCTATCTCCACAACGTACCTATCCCCATAAGGGAAAATAGTGTTGTGGTCAAATTATTCGTTTTCTTTAGTTGAACTTGATGATATTAAGACAAAGTTACCTTGCAGATAAAGGCTTAACGTATAACTGCTGACAAGAACTGTTCAATTGCGGACAATGTTGACCGACGCTTGCGGAGTAGCCGTATCAGAATACCGCATCCAATGTGTTAAGCATTAAAAGCTTGAAGTAAAAATAGAATATTATTTACGTACCGAGACTTGAACACCAGCAGTGTTACCAGTTTCGTCAGTAAGAATACAGAACACGTAGTCGTCTGCGGGGCACCACAGCTGCAGGGCTTCATATCCCTCAGCACTGTAGGGTCTCTCCACGTTCACCCAGCTCTTCTTGGCGGCAGAGGCATTAGTGCGCGGACAGTCCATGAATACATTGTCGAAGGGGTTCAAACCGAACCTTCCTGGAAAATATATGTTGTTCCTTTACGCACGAGACATTTTAGATGAATTTTATTATTTGATTGAAATGAAGTTATCGTACAAATAGGCTACGAAGTGGTACTTCACTGGTCAACATTTTAAAATAAATATCATTTTAGTTGGATGGTTTATAACCATCTAAGCTAGAATTGGGATGATGACGGGGTATGAAAATTAAAAATCTAATTAGTCCGTAAGTCAGGTACTTAATGAAAAAATATACGTATTTTGTTGTCGTATAATAAAACAATACTTAGATAAAACGAATCAAAGTTTAGGAGTGGGGGGTTAAAACGTCATTTCTATGTATAAAATGTACATAGAAGTGACGTCACACGACATTTCAAATCAATATATCGTCTAAAGTATTCGTTTCTGTAAGAAAATAAAAATACTTGTCTAATGATTTAAAATAATCTACCAGACGGACATTAAAATAAAAATTAGGCATCTAGGTACCCTAATATATGCGTTTTACTTACTTCTGAAGCCAACTTCGAAAGCATCTGAAACAAAAAATTACGCAAATTGATACCAAACGGTAAGTACATAATACAAGTGGGATCAACTTGATTCTAGTGATTACAATTAATAATGGTGGTTCGACACGAATGGGTCGGCTCAACAGGATTGATACCACGGCCTCGCAGAATACGCATGAAGCAATTGTGGTTCACCGTGAGATGTGAGTGAGGTTACCGGAGGCCCGGTGTTCCTCTAATCTCCGCAATCCTCAAAATAACTCCACACTGATGCTAGCAACGCACTTGAACTCCACACTGATGTTTCGGGTGTTCATGGGTGGCGCCGATTGCTTACCATCAGGTGATCCGTACACTGGTTTGCCGGCTTATGCCATAAAAACATCCAATTATCGTGTCTTATTGATGTGAATAATGCTTATGGAGCTTTTCGAAATTCATGAATAAAAAAGACTGTTTGCACAAAAATTCTGTGATTATAAAGTGTGGGAGAGCCATGCTTCGGCACGAATGAGCCGGCGCAACCGTAGTGACACCACGGCCTTATAGAAAACTGACATAAACAACGCTTGCGTTGTTTCGTCGTTTGAATGAGGTTACCGAAGGTCCAATTACCCTCCCCAGTCTCCCCAATTCATTCCCAATTTCCAAAAGTCCGGTAACGCACTTGTAACGCCTCTAACGTTTTAGGTGTTCAAGGGCGGCGCTGATTGCTTACCATCAGGTGATCCGTCTGCTCGTTTATCGGGTTATCCCATAAAAAAGTACTCACCAATGAAGGCAGGTGCCAGAAGGCAAAGAAGAGCAACTGTTCGGATCATGGCTGTAGCGGTGGTACCAACGACTGCGACACTACTGGTGGATGAACAGAGATGTCCACTGAGCCTATATATAGTTGCCGACTGACTGAACTAAACATCATATACCATGTGTTTTTCCATTTCATATTTGCAAAACGGCTAAGGTTGATTAAACATTTATTATTTTGTACATCTTTTTTCGTACTAATTAAGCGTGATAAAAATTGTAACACGTACTGAGAATAGTCGGTTGGCTGGACAACCAGTTGCGGTACAACGTGTCGCGGGTTCGATTACCGCATGGAGCAACTCTTTGTGTGATTTACAAATTGTTGTTTCGGATCTGGGTGTCATGTGTATTATAAGTTCATATACACAGTGTATATGAACTTGTATGTTTGTGAACCCACTTCCCCTATGCTTATACTCTTTGAAACCCACTCACGACACAGGAGAAAATTATTTAGGGAACAGAGAGTATAGTTCTCTAAGATCGGAAAAGGAGGATCCTCCGACCAGGCGAGGTGATCATGCCTGGCGGGCTTTCTGCCATACAGTTGTTCGTTGAGTTTTTCTATCCATGTTTATTCGCTTGTAAACTTTGCATGTGCGATGTAGGATTCTTGTGACGTCATCCGATTTGTGATCTGATTTGTGAAATGTATCGCCACAATTATAGTGTTAAAAAAAAGTTCTACGAAAACTACGACAGGGTACAGTTACCAAGGAACAATAACTATCTCTCTGCATGCTACTGCAGGGGCTGACCCTGATCAACAGCTCGTGATTGTCTACGGCTGGATTAAGCGTCTATTGAAGGACTAGCTGACTAGCTAGCGACTTCGTCCGCGTAAAATAGTCATTCACAACTCCTCACCCGTAGTGGATAGCATGATAACATGTAGCCTATATGTTGACCCGCCGACCCTGTTAGTAATATTCATGCAAAATTTAAAATAAATCCATGCAGCAATTTTTGAGTTTATCCCGGACATACATACAGACAAACAGACAAAAATTCTAAAAACTATATTTTTAGTTTTGGTATCCACTGTAGATCACGCCTCATTATTTAAAAAAAATATTCGATGTACAGTTTTAACGTTTTTACGATTTTATTACATATAGTATAGATTTGTTTCAGTATCCAATATTATGTTAAAGTGGCCGGAACCGCGGCGGTTTTTGACTGCGTAGTTTTGAAAATCAAGAAACCGAATACAAGTGGCCCCACTTACAGTTTTGTTTTTCAATACAATTTACCCGCGTTAGCTCCAGTACAACCGGGGTCTTAGGTCGATTGTTGGTATTATATTTAGTTCCAAAAATGTTCTGAAAAAAAAAAACGAGTCCGACCCAGAAAAAGAAAATTGAAATCGGTTACTAGTTTATATTGGTCTGTAAGAATAATACTGATTTCTACCATGTAGTTGACTTAAGATATGTATAGACATTTTATTTACCTAGATACATAAATTTCGTAGCATTTTCATCTTCGGGAATTAGCATAAAACATTTGTTTCCACTCATATTTTTCTCTACTAGATATTAACTTAATAAATACTTAAATCAAAACAGTTTATGTATGTTTAAACAGTCTGTTAAAATTGAAAACGAAGCATACATTAACAAATTTTGCGAGGTACCTAATATTTAAACAACTTATTGTTCTTTTATGGAACTTGAAAAAATACTATATCGATAATATGTACACAGCTGTGAAGACACACCTCCGAAACTTTTACTTTTTGTACGTATTTTTTAGTATCTACTAATATTTTATACTAATATTTTATATTTATAATTAGGTGTACAGAGCTGTCCTACTAAATCTTAAGTCAAATTCCTATTTACACGGCAAGGCTTTTATATAATTATTATACAGAAATGATATTTATTTTCATTAAATTGTGCATTACCTACTCAAAAGGAATTAGATTTGAATCAAATCACCGTAAACCTTTTAAATTCATTTAGTGTAATCAAGACCATAATTAATCAACATTTTAATCTTTGGCTCAATTTAAAGAGTATTTTAATATTTCACAAGATTTTTTTAACTTAGGTAATACGAAGTGATTATCCTGTGAAAATTCATAAATTTTAAATTTCACCAAATATTGTGTCCCATATACTTCTGATAGTTTGGTTTTATCGCTTCATTCTATTTCTGAATGTTGCCCATTTTCTAGTTTGCAACAGCTCGAAATACTCCCATCAGCGGCGATCCTCACTCAGGTCATATTTAAGTTACCGGTAGATAATATTTAAAATACGTAACTGATATTTTCTGAACCGAGGAAAGATTTTTCTTAACTTTCTTTTCGAGATTTTATTTTGGCGCCAACAAGCGATTTTTGACAGCACTATCAAGGAAGAGTACAGGCACAATAACTGTAGTCACAATCACAGGCAACGTTGGCATAGCGATTTACAACTAATGAAGATCCAACATTTCTTGATCCTTTAGGTATGCTCTGTTCAGTTTCAAAGAGTTTACTTTAGATCTTTTCACACTTAGTAAGCTTAGAAACTTATCGCAGAGTGCCTTTTCCATTTCGATTTTTAAGTTCAAAAATTCTTCAGTGTCTCTCAAGCACTTTTGATAATCTGACTTGATACTTTGAAAACTAGATTTGAGATTGTGTACTTTTTGTTTCATGTGTTTATTTAATGCGACAAGAACTTCTATGAGATCTGGATGTGCATGTTTCGGAGTAGGATCAAGTTCCATCGGTAGAAATCCTTCTATTATTACTGATCCTTTAATCTTTCGTTTCCAATAGAAAAATCCACTTTTAAGTTCGTAAATATAGTCTTCTCTCGACTGAGATAAACTTCTTTTTACATTAGCAAAGTATGCAACTTCCGACATGTGTAAGTTCTTGCTGAAACCCACCAGTCGATTTGGCGAAAACCGTCCCTTCCATAGCTTTTCTTTGTTGAACAGATAAACTTCAAATGAATCAGACTGCCACCCAACCATTAGATAACAAGGATCACCTTGTACTATTAACTTGGTAACGGTGATTGCTTCGTCTAAATCCATCATTGAAATTTTACCATTTCTTATACTTATAAATTTTTACAGCAGGGCCGTTTTGATGTAATACGCAAGCCTAATCAATCATTATTTACTTAATTTCCCATCTTGATATTTTTGTCAACTTATTTATTTTGACAACATGTGACGTTGTGCTCTTTTCTGATGCCAAAAACTAGAATTTATTTTCCATTACAAATTATCAGAAAGTTTTGATTAAGCATTGTATCACCTTTTTTTTCGACGTGTTTGTTGGTTGTAGGTACATAGTTGTACCATGATCAATCCAAAATCATAAATTGAGTTGATTTGACACTTCATATACCACCACACTGGAGAGGCTATGTCCAGCAGTGGACGAAAACAGGCTGTTGTTGATGATACCACCGCACTGAAATTTATCACATGATTTATCATAATAAAACACCATATTTGTTAAGTAATGAAAAATACAGACTTGAAAATAAAATTTTAATTTATATTTCCCGCTCCATGAGAAGTTCGTGATAGAACGAGAAAGATGTCATTTCTGAACGTTTCTCACCGGACGTCAGCCAGTCAGCAAAATAAATGTCAGTGTCAAAACTATAACCTTAAAAGTTTGTTTATGTTGTGTGGTTGGAAAACTTGTTGGTAGCGGTGAAGGTTACGCACGTGCTTTTGTCGTTCCTACGTTTTTTCTGTTAGTTTTAGTGTTTTTATCCATAGTGAACTGAATTGAAAACCTTTTAGTTCTGTGTTGTTGTGTTTTTAACTGTGTGTGTAATCTTTAATAAGGTATTGGTTGTCGTAAGTGAAGGTAACCACTTGTTCCCTCGTTAAGCTCCGAAATGGACGAGGAGAAACCACCTGACCCTCCTGATAAATCCCCCCAATATGAAACCGAATCAATCCTCACGATCATCCTTCCTCCCAACACCCCGGAATCTGAAACAATGGAGTTAGAAACCGCGAACAGCAGGAAACGACATGCCGGCTCCCCTCCTATCTCCCAGAATAATCCCCCAAAATTGGCTAAAAGTACTCACGGTAGACAGTGCTACACGGCCAGGGATAACCCCCCATATATGGTTTATGTATCCCTTAAGGATTCCCAGACGTCTGGAACCACGCTACACCCTGTTAAGTTTGGGATGTTTTTAATGAAACACAACATTAACAATGTCAAAATTGGTGGTGTCAAACGGCTGGGTAGGAATAGAGTATCGGTCGAGTTTGTGTCTCACCAGGATGCAAACAGTTTCTTAGTGAACGGTATGGTGGCTCAAAATTACGTGACCTCGATCCCACAATTTAATATTACTCGAATGGGCATTGTAAGGGACGTCCCTGTCGAGTGGACAGAGGACGAAATAATTGGTAATATCAGGGTTCCCGCCGGGTGTGGGGCTGTGATAAAAGCTAGGAGGATGAATCGAAGAGTTACATCTACAAATGGTACTGAATGGAAGCCTACGCAAACTGTAGTGCTAACTTTCGATGGTCAAACCCTACCCAAAAAGGTCTTCTGTTTTTATTCAGCACTGCCGGTGGAATTGTACTCATACCCTACCATACAGTGTTATAACTGTTGTCGTTTTGGGCACACCCGCACCCTTTGCCGCTCCAAGCCGCGTTGTTTCAGATGTGGCCAGGATCATCCAGGCGATGGATGTCAGATTTCAGCCGAGATTGCCCATTGTATCAACTGCAATGGCAATCACTTTGCTAACGACAAAGCTTGTCCTGAGTTGGGTCGCCAGAAGAGCATCAAAGCATTGATGGCGGAAAAATCAATCTCATATACGGAAGCAAGCCAAGTTTTCCCAACCGTTAAAAGGTCTTATGCTGAGGTCTCAAGATCAGCCAACCTTATAGATTCATCTCCCAACAAAACTCCATCCCAACAAAGAGTGTCCTACAAAAAAACAGTCCAACTCAAACCTAAATCACATGCGCCCCTCTCTCCTAGCTATGATAAGAAGGCCCATCGGGCCCTTATCCAAGACCACTCTTTCTCCCCATCTAAAAATGGTTGCGCTTTCCCTGTGGAATCCGGAACCAATACTCGTAGCTCCAAGTACATCCTAAATATAGTCTCTGATATGCTTATGGCAGTACTAGCAAACCCTGCCCAAAATATACCTGACCACGTCGCACACAAACTTTCTACAATTCTAGATTATATCTGTAACATTCCATCCTCTAACACTGCTTCAGTGGAACGTGAGGAGTACTCTTCCCAGGAAGAGTGACTTACTCCACTTGATAAATAAATTTAAACCATCGATTTGTGGCATTGCTGAGACATGGCTTCAACCGAATATTAATTTCGGGATCCCGTGTTTCAGTGTTGTCAGACATGACAGATCTGATGGTTATGGAGGGTGTGCTTTGTTAATTAATAACAAAGTGCCCTTCACCCAGATCCCTCTACCCTTCGTTGGCGATGACATAAATGTTGTCGCTGTTAAGGCTGAGGACATAAATGTTTTTGTATTTTATATTGCTCACCCTCATGTTGATCACATTATGTTAATTAAAAGTTTACTAACCTTGGTAAGTGGCCCATTGCTTATAATGGGTGACTTCAACTGCCACCACTATAGATGGGGTTCAGATGTATGCGATAATGTAGGTATTGAATTAGTAGAGATGCTGGACGAACTCGAATTGTGTGTCATCAATGATGGCAGCCCTACTCGTAGGTCTGCATTTGGTCAAAGAAACAGCTGTGTGGACTTGACCTTCTGCTCGCCTGCTATGGCTGGCGTGCTTAATTGGAGTTGTTTGAATTTGACCTATGGTAGTGATCACTATCCTATCATAATTAAACACCTGTCAAAATCTATTCCAGATAAACCCCTTCCCCCCCTATTAAAATATCGTTTGAATGCAGCTGATTGGGATCTTTATTCAAAATTATTAGACCACCGTATCTCCTTCCTTTCACCAATTAATCCTGAGAATGCTTTGGAGTGTTTTTCAAAATTTTCGGACCTGATAGCCTCCACTGCTGAAGATTGCTTTCCGGTGAAAAACGCACCGAAAGGCAAAATCCCTTCTCCGCCATGGTGGGATAGTGAATGCACTGCCATGATAAGGGCTAGGAATGAGGCTGAAAAGACATATAACCAAGATATGAACCTGGAAAACCTCATAAATTTCAAACGAATTTTGGCTAAGTCAAGGAAATTGTTCAAAAAAAAGAAGAGACAAGGGTGGCAAAGATTTTGTGGTTCTCTGAGCCCATCCACTCCAGTATCTACAGTTTGGCAGAGAGTGAAAAATTTCAGGAACTCCACCAAACCTCCCACTATCTCGATTTTACCCGAATCTCTAAGTAACAGATTTTTAAATAGTATTGCTCCAGTATATGTTCCCAGTGCAGACGAGTGCTGCCAGAGACCCTATGACGAAACACATGAACCGCTCGATTTGGAGTTCTCTTATGAAGAGCTCCAAACGGTACTCAACCATGTCAAGGACTCGGCACCAGGGATTGATGGGTTCCCTTACTCCTTCCTATCTAAGGCTGGAACTAAAACAAAACAATACTACCTTGACTTGGTCAATTTTTGCTTTACTTCAGGCTATATTCCTCCTACTTGGAAGGTTCAGGTTATCATGCCGCTGTTGAAAGCTGGCAAGGATCCTGGTGATCATAAATCCTACCGACCTATCGCTCTATCGTCCGTACTTATTAAAACTTTTGAACACCTCATTAAAAACCGCCTTGAATGGTTGGTTGAAAGCCGGAGGCAGCTTCCGGCGACTCAGTTTGGCTTCAGGAAAGGTCTGGGTACGGCTGACAGTGTGGGTGTCCTCACGTCAGCCATCCGACTGGCCCTTAGCAGGCAGGAGTCGCTGGTCGCGGTCTTCCTGGACATCTCAGCGGCCTATGATTCTGTCCTCTTACCCCTTCTCAGGCAGAAACTGCAAGAGCTGAGAATCCCGAGTGGGATTTGCCGAATTATAGGCTGTATCCTCTCCAATCGTACCCTCCAATTGAGAACTCCTGAGGATAACCCAGTACAGAGGTCCTCCTGGAAAGGTTTACCTCAGGGGTCAGTCCTTAGTCCTATCCTTTATAACATATATACCTATGACCTCCCCTCCTGTTTAAATTTTAACTGTAATGTCCTTCAGTACGCTGACGATATCGCATTAATGGTCACCAGCAATTCTATAACAGAGGCCGCTCACTCCATCAATGTCTCTTTGTCCTCATTAAACCAATGGCTTCTCAATCACGGGTTATCTTTAAGTGCCCCAAAAAGCTCGGCTGTCATTTTTACACGCAAACGACGCACTCCGGATCTTCGTATAGAGATGGACGGTCAGACTATCCCGATTAAAAGCAGCGCTAGATTTTTGGGAGTCCATCTCGACTCAAAGATGTCTGGGGTGGACCACATAAACACCGTAGTTGGTAGGTGTGAACGCTCAGTATCGATACTCAGAGCTCTGGCTGGGGTATGGTGGGGTGCTCACCCCTCTTCATTGAAGCTCATATACAATGCATTGGTCAGAAGTGTAATGGACTATTGTTGCTTCCTTATTGTACCTTGCAATAAGGAAGCATTAAAAAAACTAGACTCCATTCAGACCAAATGCCTTAGAATAATTATTGGAGCTATGAAATCATCCCCCATAAACGCTCTTCAGGTTGAATGTGCGGAGCCTCCTCTCAACCTGCGAAGACAATACCTTGCAGACCGCTTCATCTCAAAAGTCCTCTCCCTCTCATCACATCCCCTTCTCCCTATCCTAGATCAAATCCACTGTTCCTACAGCTCCTCTTCTTACTGGAAAAATAAACCTGTCCCTCCCGTGATTGCTAGGTACAGGGAGCTTAAAAACCTCTCTGCACCCATAAGTCAATATCCTGTGCTCCCAGTGTTTTCTTCCGTATATGAGGTTATCCACTTTAGACCAAAGCTGATTTTAGGACTTGGCATTTCGAAATCCACCGTGAATGCTGCAGACGAGTTCAAACGTGCCTTGGACAAATACTGGAGAGGCTGGAATACCTTCTACACAGACGCGTCTAAATTATCCCGAATCGGATGTACAGGAGTGGCAGCGTACTTCCAAAATTCGAGGATCGCTCTCCTCTCCAAGTGTCCCCCGGAGGCATCAGTCTTCACGGGTGAATGTGCGGCCATTTTGGAATCACTCAAATTTATTAGAGCTCACAACCTCAAAAATTCCGTAATTTTTTCTGATTCCCGAAGTAGCCTACAGTCCCTCAACCAAGATCAGCTCCATTCCAGAACCCATAGCAGTTTGGTTGTT